TGGATTATGGAGAGGCATGATCGTCAACGCCAGTCGGCAAGGCACCTGATGATGATGATCCAGTACAGGCCAACACAGGACCACAAAACAAGCGAGACAATCCTGTAAGACAATATTTTGTCAAGAAATGGCGATTTGTCGGCCTTCATTTGCGTGTTTATTTTGATACAGCGCCATTTTCCATTTCATGAGACATGCATGACTAACAGTGTCGCCTGGCATGTAGAGAGTGTTAAAAAAGATAGGGAATTGTTGGCGCAAAGGGTAAGAACAAGCAAATTGTGTCAGCTTTACAAAATCAATTACAATAAACAAACAAAGAACGTTGCGGCGATTAGCCTTCATCAGCAAACACAGTATACATACAAAAATATACACTGCATAAATTGGTCTCCTCCGTCTAAATTATCCAATTTCGTCCTTTTTAGGACGAAATTTTTTGTCATTTAAAGCCCTACTCTGGCTTTTGCCAGGGGCTGCAATATAGGCAGGCCATACATATGGCCAAATGTCTGAACGCGGTTTCTGGGACCTCTCCACGGCGATCCTCATCCGCATGGTGGCACTTTGTGTCATCGGGTGTTTATCGCTTGTGTGATGTCCTGGTGGGGTAGAAAGTCAGTCAGTCAGACTGCATATAAAACGACTACATTGGACTAAAATGTACTAAATAAATGCTACTCATCAGGGTCACTGGTAAAAACTCCAGGAGGGTAAACTGGACAGGTACTGGCTAGAAGTGAAACTGGGTCAGTAGCCTAGCATGTAGAGAGCACGACTATAGTCTCCGTGTCACATACATCTGTCACCTGTCGCGTAGAGAAGGTATGTCAAACTGAGACTACCCTGGGGGCCACACGACAACTAATTGGAGTCATTTAATAACAATGATTTGCTTTTTAGGGGGCTGCAGGTGTGCTTGCAAAGGACCGGATGCGACCCTAGGTCCCTAGTTTGACGTGTCTAGTGTAGAGAGCAAGACTGGTAGTGTCTGTGTGACACAGATCTGTCATCAATCGGGTAAAGAGCATGACTGGTAGTGTCTGTGTGAGACAGATCTGTCACCAATTGAGTAAAGAGCATGACTGGTAGTGTCTGTGTGAGACAGATCTGTCACCAATTGGGTAAAGAGCATGACTGGTAGTGTCTGTGTGACACAGATCTGTCATCAATCGGGTAAAGAGCATGACTGGTAGTGTCTGTGTGAGACAGATCTGTCACCAATTGGGTAAAGAGCGAGACTGGTAGTGTCTGTGTGAGACAGATCTGTCATCAATCGGGTAAAGAGCATGACTGGTAGTGTCTGTGTGAGACAGATCTGTCACCAATCGGGTAAAGAGCATGACTGGTAGTGTCTGTGTGACACAGGTCTGTCACCAATCGGGTAAAGAGCGAGACTGGTAGTGTCTGTGTGACACAGGTCTGTCACCAATCGCGTAAAGAGCGAGACTGGTAGTGTCTGTGTTACACAGGTCAATCAACTGTAGAGACGCTGGTTTTCGTCAGGTCTTGATTGATATTTAGCAAGACCCCTCCTCGCAACCACCTCAGGACTTCTAGTCCGACCTTAAAAGGCAAGATCTATCGTACTCTTCTTTGTGATGAAAGCTTCCGAGTACTACATACTTTTCCTACTGCCCGACTGCAAGTGCAAGCATAGAGCACCAAAATCAGCCGCTCACTGTTTATAGGGCTGGCGATATATGTCTGATGTTGCTATTGTGATTTCTTGATTAGTAGTCGCATGTTGGTCCATTATATTACTAGATATTGGTCCATTAGTCTTTCGAATAAAGGTCCGTTAGTCTATCGAATGAAGGTCCAACAATCTATCGAATGAAGGTCCAACAATCTATCGAATGAAGGTCCAACAATCTACCGGATGTAGGACAAACAATCTACCGGATATAGGTCCGTCAGTCTATCGAATGAAGGTCCAACAATCTACCGGATGTAGGGCAGACAATCTACCGGATGTAGGGCAAATAATCTACCGGATGTAGGTCCGTCAGTCTATTGAATGAAGGTCCAACAATCTACCGGATGTAGGGCAAACAATCTACCGGATGTAGGGCAGACAATCTACCGGATGTAGGGCAGACAATCTACCGGATGTAGGTCTAATGGTTTACGGGATGTCATCCCTAGTTGCCTGGAACAGCTCACTTGATGATATTCCTCCATTCCATCGTTTCAGCCCATCCAGCATCTTCTATCTTGGTTTTCCTCTACCCCTTTTTTCCACTGATCTTTCTAGTTGTTACCGGATGTAGGTGCAAAAATCTACCGGATGCAGGTCCAAAAAACTACCGGATGTAGGACCAAAAATCTACTGGATGTAGGACCAACTGTATACCACATACAAGTCCAACAATCTACCGGATGTATGTCCGACAGTTTGTCGGAAATAGAACCAACTGTCTACCGGATGAAGGACCAACTGTCTACCGGATGTAGGTCCAATAGTTTACCGGATGTAGACCCCTTTAGGGGCAATACTGTTTTGAGACACAAGACTGTACGTAGCTCACATTCTGCCTCAAATTCTTCGAGTGGATCGTTTTTTTTTTGGGCGGGGGGGGGGGGGGGGAGGGGGGGGGGGGGGTAGAAGACTTGTTGATCTTTTTCGTCCCTACGTCCTCTTCTTGCTCATCTTACTTTCGCTCCCTTTTCTTCTTTTGCTCCTCCCGCTGCCATCTCTTCTTTTGCATCTGCCACTGTCTCCACTTCCTCCTCTATCTCTTTCCCTACTGCTTCCATGTACTCGTCATATTTCCTTCTACTCTTCCTGTTTTTGTTCTTGCTCTTCTTTGTCTTCATTGTTGCCACATTTGTTACTGCAGCCGATGTTTTTATCTGTACCCTTCCACCTATCGCCTGATGGACCCGGATTGTTTTTCCTTTAGAAATGACCTTGGCTCCCAGCTCGACCGAAACTTAGATGGGTACTAGGTAAAGTCCCGGGAAGTAAAGACTTCATCATCCACCAAGTGTCAAAAGAAAGGTCTAGCCCTATATGCCCAATACGCATGAAGGCCCAATAAAGGATTGTTTACTTACTTCCGCCTACCCACACGTTGACGGGTGTAAATATTTCAAGCATAGCAGATTGTTTTTATATCATTGTTGTTGTGTAACAGACAAAGCTTTCTTTTAATTAGGAATTCCAGAGAAGTTTGACTAAAAAGCTGCCTGGCCAAAACGTTACTTTGTGTTGTTTTGTTCAAGTTTATCTGCTTGCCCATTTTGTTGAGTTTTTAGTCAAACTTCTCTGGAATTCCTTGTATAAGCTTGACTGCAGTCACCCCCATGTTTTCACCTGTCTTTTTATGTTGGTGAGCTGTTGTCTGCCAGCCTGTAGTTATTCTTTACTAAAACAAGAGCAGAGTGGGAAGCAGATGACATGTATAGGGTTTCTGTAAGACCGAATTCAGGCGGACCTCTATCTGAGTCTAGGCCAGATACCGAGTGCACGGACTGTCTCTGTGGGTTAGTTGGTCAGTCTGGAGATTTAGAGTGACAGACAGTAAAATGAGATAAGTCTTTGACCTGCCACATTTGTACATGCAGCGACCAACTGCCTTGTCCAATCCTCGTCTGTCCTAGAAACAGCAATGGACCATTTTCCCCCGCCTTTAGGCTTACATGGCCCAGATGTCTAAACCTATATTGCATAGATCACTCGGCACTTGGTAAGTGATATGGGCATTACACGCTGATCGTAGAAACAGTAGAGCACTTTCATTTACCATGAAGTCTAGCACAGATGCAACGCAAGCATTTATATTGTCTCTCTAGGAACTGAACTCTGTCTAAGAAGTGTACAAGGCCAAGCTGTTGTCATGACATCTACTACCACAACGTGTCAGTACATCTACCACCACAACGTGTCAGTACATCTACCACCACAGCGTGTCAGTACATCTACCACCACAACGTGTCATACATCTAACACCACAACGTGTCAGTACATCTACCACCATAACGTGTCATAAATCTAACACCACAACGTGTCAGTACATCTACTCCCACAACGTGTCAGTACATTTACCACCACACTTGTCAGTACATCTACCACCACAACGTGTCAGTACATCTACCACCACAACGTGTCAGTACATCTACCACCACAACGTGTCAGTACATCTACCACCACAACGTGTCAGTACATCTACCACCACAGCGTGTCAGTACATCTACCACCACAACGTGTCATACATCTACCACCACAACGTGTCAGTACATCTACCACCACAAAGTGTCATACATCTACCACCACAACGTGTCAGTACATCTACCACCACAACGTGTCAGTACATCTACCACCACAACGTGTCAGTACATCTACCACTACAACGTGTCAGTACATCTACCACCACAACGTGTCAGTACATCTACCACCACGACGTGTCAGCACATCTACCACCACAACGTGTCATACATTTACCACCACAACGTGTCATACATCTACCACCACAACGTGTCAGTACATCCACCACCACAACGTGTCAGTACATCTACCACCACAACGTGCCATACATCTACCACCACAACGTGTCTGTACATCTACCACCACAGCGTGTCAGTACATCTACCACCCCAACGTGTCAGTACATTTACCACTACAACGTGTCAGAACATCTACCACCACAACGTGTCAGTACATCTACCACCACAACGTGTCAGTACATCTACCACCACAACGTGTCATACATCTACCACCACAACGTGTCAGTACATCTACCACCACAACGTGTCATACATCTACCACCACAACGTGTCAGTACATCTACCACCACAACGTGTCAGTACATCTACCACGACAACGTGTCAGTACATTTACCACCACAACGTGTCAGTACATCTACCACCACCAAGTGTCAGTACATCTACCACCACAACGTGTCAGTACATCTACCACCACAACGTGTCAGTACATCTACCACCACAACATGGGCAGAAAACACTAAATAAGGCGGTGTTTATAAAAAAAGGGACCTTTATTGTACAAACAGTAACTCGCAGGACTTGGTTTTCCTGTGTCCGGCGCCGAAGATTTTGGAGAAGAATTGGCTGATGGCTTGAGCTGGAGACTTGGATCTTCTCCTGAGCGGCTGTTTCCCGGGCGATGCTGGGGGTCCAGAAGCTGAAGGTGAGATCTGTTCGCGGATCTGGCTGAGGATGCCAACTAGCAGCTCGTCCACGTGATGGTTGAGAGCAGCTGAGGTCTCCGCGTAACGGCAGTGGTACTTCTTGGCCAGTCGAGCAGCATCTGAAAGTATCGCATGCTACAGTTAGTGGTGTCATCTGAAAGTATCGCATTCTACAGTTAGTGGCGTCATCTGAAAGTATCGCATGCTACAGTTAGTGGCGTCATCTGAAAGTTTTACATGCTACAGTTAGTGGCGTCATCTGAAAGTTTTACATGCTACAGTTAGTGGCGTCATCTGAAAGTATCGCATGCTACAGTTAGTGGTGTCATCTGAAAGTATCGCATGCTACAGTTAGTGGCGTCATCTGAAAGTTTTACATGCTACAGTTAGTGGCGTCATCTGAAAGTTTTACATGCTACAGTTAGTGGCGTCATCTGAAAGTTTTACATGCTACAGTTAACAGCGTCATCTGAAAGTTTTACATGCTACAGTTAGTGGCGTCATCTGAAAGTTTTACATGCTACAGTTAACAGCGTCATCTGAAAGTTTTACATGCTACAGTTAGTGGCGTCATCTGAAAGTTTTACATGCTACAGTTAACAGCGTCATCTGAAAGTTTTACATGCTACAGTTAACAGCGCCATCTGAAAGTTTTACATGCTACAGTTAGTGGCGTCATCTGAAAGTTTTACATGCTACAGTTAACAGCGTCATCTGAAAGTTTTACATGCTACAGTTAACAGCGTCATCTGAAAGTTTTACATGCTACAGTTAGTGGTGTCATCTAAAAGTTTTACATGCTACAGTTAGCGGCGTCATCTGAAAGTTTTACATGCTACAGTTAGTGGCGTCATCTGAAAGTTTTACATGCTACAGTTAGTGGTGTCATCTGAAAGTTTTACATGCTACAGTTAGTGGTGTCATCTGAAAGTTTTACATGCTACAGTTAGTGGCGTCATCTGAAAGTTTTACATGCTACAGTTAACAGCGTCATCTGAAAGTATCGCATGCTACAGTTAGTGGCGTCATCTGAAAGTGTTACATGCTACAGTTAACAGCGTCATCTGAAAGTATCATATGCTACAGTTAGTGGTGTCATTTAAAAGTATCATATGCTACAGTTAGTGGCGTCATTTGAAAGTATCATTTGCTACAGTTAGTTGCGTCATCTGAAAGTATCATATGCTGCAATTAGTGGCGTCATCTGAAACTATCAAATGCTACAGTTAGTGGCGTCATTTGAAAGTATCACATGCTACAGTTAGTGGCGTCATCTGAAAGTATAACCTTTGAATTGAAACCATTATCATCGGTTCCATTGTGCCTACTTCATCAATGTGAGTGGAACCCAGAGTGTATCTGCTAGCGAAATAGAATCCGGCCACTACTATTGTCTGTAGAATGATGTGCTGTGTACAGTACTGCACTATATGAGCACTGAATCGTTTAGTTGTCCGTAGACTATGTAACTTTCTACTTTTGTTTCCGCTCGTTATTTGTTTTATTTTAGATATGAGTGCTTGTGTGTAGCCATTCTGTGTGTGGGTGGGTGTTTGCATGAGAGAGAGAGAGAGAGAGAGAGAGAGAGAGAGAGGGTGAGAGAGAGAGAAAAAAGAGAGAGAGAGAGAGGGTGAGAGAGAGAGAGAGAGACTAGTTAAAAATTATGCCCAAGTGTTTACAGATGTTCAGTATAAAAACTAGGTGATGTATGGGGCGGGGGGAGGGGGGAGGTGCTTAGCCCTTGAAAGAATGTGGCCGGGTGCTTGAGTAGTTCTACACGAGCACCCGCTGGGAACACCTCCTGCTTGCCAGGCCAGCCTGCTCCCCACAAATCACCAGCTTTATTACACATTGTCAGGCATTCCTGCAGCTCAATCTCCAGGTGCCAATGTTTCACGCTTGTACGACTTCCAGGTACACACCCGACAACGGCTGCTGATGGCTTCTGCAGGCAGTTGGCTGTCTTCATTACAGCTTACATTTTCTCTCCTCTCACTCTCTCACTCTGGGTGTCTCTCTCTTTAATCTCTTTCATTATTCTCTTTCGTTATCTCTCTGCCTATCTTAATGTGTGTGTGTGTGTGTGTGTGTGTGTGTGTGTGTGTGTGTGCGCGCCCACTCTCATTGTCTCTCGCTCACTTCTCTCCGTCTCACACTGACTTACCCCGTCTCGTCGCTGTTTCATACTGTTTAGTCCTCTCTTTCTAGCTTTTCTTCCCTCTCTCTCTCTTTCTTTCTCACTCTCTCTCTCTCTCTCTCTCTCTCTCTCTCTCTCTCTCTTTCTCTATTTCTCTCTTTCTCATTTGTCTTATGTGACTCAGTCCCGTGTACTGTTTCCTAGTCTGACAGTTTCCATTGAATGCCTCTCTTTCCTCTCTCACAATGTCTCTATTTTGCTTTCTTTTTTTGCTGTCGATATCTCTGTCTGTTCAATAGTTCGCCGCCCTGTCTATTTTACCACAATCCCCATGTACCTCACACACTGTCCCACCCCATCTCACCCTCCATCTCTCTCCATGGCTTTCTCACCGTCTGTTTATAATTTCTCTCTAGCCCCTCGACATTTGCCTCTTTCCTTCGCTGCCTCACCATATCTTACCCTCCGACTCTGTCTCACCATATCTTACCCTCCGACTCTGCCTCACCATATCTTACCCTCCGACTCTGCCTCACCATATCTTACCTTCCGACTCTGCCTCACCATATCTTACCCTCCGACTCTGCCTCACCATATCTTACCCTCCGACTCTGCCTCACCATATCTTACCCTCCGACTCTGCCTCACCATATCTTACCCTCCGACTCTGCCTCACCATATCTTACCCTCCGACTCTGCCTCACCATATCTTACCCTCCGACTCTGCCTCACCATATCTTACCCAGGTGACTCTGCCTCACCATATCTTACCCTCCGACTCTGCCTCACCGTATCTTACCCTCCGACTCTGCCTCACCATATCTTACCCTCCGACTCTGCCTCACCATATCTTACCCTCCGACACTGCCTCACCATATCTTACCCTCCGACTCTGCCTCACCATATCTTACCCTCCGACTCTCTCCTTCCCTCTGGCTATCATTTATGCCCCCCCCCCATCCCACCTGTCCATCCGCTCTGTCACATTCAAAGAGCTTTCTTTGCTTGTACAAATATACATGGGAGAGTGCAGACAGTGGGTATAACAGCCGTGGATGTGGTGGGCAGCCAATGACTGTCATGTCCAGCGATAAGTTTCCCCAGCAGAGACTGCTGCCCGAGTTGCCAGGTTCTTGGCAGCAGGATGGTTTGTTGAAGCGCCATGCTACAGGAATCATCAACGTCTAGGTGACTCCGTGTCGGCTGTGAGACACTGACTACCTATAGGTCTGTGGCAAGGGCAGTGCTGCTCTTTGGATTTAACAATAATATTGACAGCTGAGTGCCATTTCTATGACTGACATGCAAGTTGTAGTGGCTACAGTTATAGCAGTAACTAAACACAACAGAGAGTAGTGACACAGAGATGGCGTTGATGGTACAGATGGCAATGGTAGTTGACATGGCTACTGATAATCCCACTGATCTGACTAATTAAGGTGGTTTAGAAAAAAATCATCATGATGTGACTAAAATGAAAGACATGACAATGATGGCGGAGTGACCTCCTACCATGTCTAGCCACCCGTCGCTGCCTGGCCAAGTCCGTCTTGTTGCCCACCAAGATGACAGCCTTGTTGGTGCGCACCTCCTCCCTCAGCCGGCGCACCGCGAGGATGGCTTGGTTGTAGCTGGCCGGGTCGGACACGGCGAACACGATCACGAAGGCATCGATAGGGATGTCTTCTATCTCAAAGTCTGGGTGCTGGCGGAGCAGAGGGGACAAAGTTAGTGGGGGATTGTGGATTGTATCGTGTCTAGGTGCTGGTTGAATAGAGAGGACACAGTCAGTGGGGGATTGAGGATTGTATTATGTCTAGGTGCTGGTTGAATAGAGGGGACACAGTCAGTGGGGGATTGAGGATTGTATTATGTCTAGGTGCTGGTTGAATACAGGGGACACAGTCAGTGGGGGATTGAGGATTGTATTATGTCTAGGTGCTGGTGGAATAGAGGAGACACAATCAGTAGGGGATGTTAGACTGTATCATGTCTAGCTGCTGGTTGAATAGAGGAGACACAGTCAGTAGGGGATTGTGGATTGTATCATGTCTAGGTGCTGGTTGAATAGAGGAGACACCGTCAGTGGGGGATTGTGGATTGTATCATGTCTAGGTGCTGGTTGAATAGAGGGGACACAGTCAGTGGTGGATTGTGGATTGTATTATGTCTAGGTGCTGGCTGAATAGAGGGGACACAGTCAGTGGGGGGTTGTGGATTGTATTATGTCTAAGTGCTGGCGAAGCAGAGGGGACACAGTCAGTGGGGGATTGTGGATTGTATCATGTCTAGGTTCTGGTGGAATAGAGGGGACACAGGACGTTGTTTGTTTGAGCGTGGTATTTACATAGGCACTGAAACCTAAGGCATCTTGTCCCTTGAGCCCCCCCCCCCCCCCCCCATTGACATTGTTTGGGGTTTGCCCTTGTCTTTGTTTTCTATTTTGTAAAAGGGATAACTGTCCTCCTTTATCTATATATAGAAATTATCTTTACAAGTTTTTGTTTTTAAATTTTTTAATTTTTTCTAATACATTATTTATTTATTCTTCAATCAGCACATTATTGTTATTATTGTGCTCTCATACTAGAACAATCGCAATGAGTGGGGGGGGGGGGGGGGGGGCGGGTTGTTTTCACCACAGAGTTTGTTGATTACGACTTATCTCATTGGCTGAGTCTGGCAAACTGCCATTACGATAGTCTGTAGAGTTCTGGAGGCAGATTTCAGGGATGTACAGAACACTGGCCAATGGTGTCTTCTGAGCAGACAGATGGGACAGGAGTTAAATCTAGAGGTGCAGGGCTTTCATCTTCTTCTTTCGTTGTGTAGTGTAGTTTTATTTATTTATGTAGTTAAAGCTACCATTAAAGCAGGTTACGGAATCTACATGTGGTATCCCGATGGATCTATTGAAGAGATTGTTGATGCATGCGGGAAATTCTGCTCAAATTATGAAGTTGAAATGATTGCACTGGAAACAGCAGTATACCACCTAAAGACTGTAATGGATGTTTATCCTCCAAAGGCCCAAAATATTGTCATCTTTGCTGAGGCAATGTCTGCTCTTCAAGCTCTGAGGGCAGTGAACACTGCAGAACTGACATAGCCAAGATAATCATGGATGCTGATCAGCTCATTACCTCATACAACATCAGAATAGTGATGCAGTGAATTCCAGGCCATTCCCGCACACCAGGTAATGACAAAGCTGACAGACTGGCAAAGAAAGGAGCAACACAAGAACAACCATCTACATTGACAACCCTACATACAGCAAAAACTCTTATAAGAGCTATAAACAAAGAGACCTGGCTGAATAGATGGGGCATGGGAGATACTGGGAGAGAGGTTTATAGACATATGTCTGTGCCTGATCCTAATGACAGCATTACCCATCTAACAAGAAGGGACCAAGCCACCATCTTCAGACTCAGAACACAACATACTCCACTCAGTAGACATCTAAACAGAATACAGCCACAATACTCCCCAGAATGCCAGCTATGTAACTACCCCTACGAAACTGTTGAACACCATCTTTTTAATTGTCCACAACTCAGCGAGACTGGAAGAATTCTACTGCCTCAGAGACCAGACAAGTGGAACACCTTGTGCGGAGGATAAGAACAGCTTGTGAAAACATGCAAATTCAACTACATGGCATTGGGCCAAAGGATGAATTCTCATGCGCCGCTGGATCCATAACAACAACAACATTTATATATGTGGTTATGTGTGCATGTCTTCTTCTGATAAAAGATGTGCATCTCCAACTTCCATTGTGCCAGAATCAATGTTGAAAAACGGGCGAGGGATGGGGGTGGGGGGGGGGGGGGGGGGGGGGGGGGGAGGTTGACCCAATTTTGCTATATGTTTTTTGTATTGTACTAAAAGCAAAGCAGAGGGGGTATCTTGTGATGGAGGAAAGAGAAGAGATAACTATAAAGGATAATATGGAAATCTATTCCTTGAAATCTCCTCGACTCCGAACCTACAAGAGCTCTAACAATGTGACGTGGCAAGTGGGAGCCAAAACCCAACCTTAAGCTGCCTCAGAAAAAAAAAAAAAAAAGAGAGACAAATTCATTTAGGCGGGGGTAAGATCAAATATATCCCACCCTGACAAGAAATCTTCTGTGTAAAATCTAGATCAGCCAAGCAACAAATAAACTAGGCACGCTAACTACAAGTCCTAATCTGAACGAAAAACAACTGGAACTATGATTACTACATTATTTCACTTAACATAAAATCAGCGTGGTCCACAAATAACGACAATTAACAACAAACGTGTTCGACCAGAATAGGAACCTAAAGTGCTAATCATCTCAAGCTAACAAGGGACTATGGTAATGACACCATACACTCAGCAATATTACCTCAACAATGGCAGAAACCAAAACATATTTAACATGTATGTTAATCTTCAACATGCCATCAGACCAACAAATCACTTACAGGTACCTGCCATCCTAGCGAGTATACAAAATGAAAATCAAATCTAACACCACTGGAGAAATATCAGATTTGACTATGGTAACATACCACCGCCGAGAAACCAGCTTGACAACCAGCCTTCCCTTGTAGTCGTCCACACCCCTGCTGGTGAGCCCCAAGTGCATAGCTACAACAGCCGGGCCGGTCTCCACAGGGTGCATCGGGAAGTCAAATAGGAGGCAAATACTGAGTCGGCCTTTTTATATCCAAACGGAGATTACAGACCACGGAGTGACAGCATAAACAAACTTAACAGGAAAGAACAAACATCAATGTTTAGACCTCGGACTGGACACTGTGGTCTTCGAGCACACGTGTACAGGATTGGCTTAACAGAATCTGCTGCCTGTGATTGTGGAGCAGAAAGACAGACTCCTGAGCACATGCTGCAGCACTGCCCTAACCTCTCCCAGCAAAGACTGTGGATCTGGCCCAAGGGAGCCACATTGCAAGAGAAGCTATTGGGGGGATCTTGTAGCGACCTTAAACGTACAATCCTATTTGTGACCCAGACGGGACTCAATGTTTAGCAAGATTGGGAACAGCAACAATATACGAAATCTGTGGTCATAGTTTCACAACAACATGTGATATATACCTGCTCCTCGGCTATGAAATGCAACGTGGACTCGAGGCCGTCCAGGAGCACACTGACGTTCCTCTCAGGTTCTAGGAGGTCGGCTGCGAAAATAGAATAGCAGCAGACACTGTTACCATAGATAACAGGGGTAGCGGTAGGGGGGTGGCAGCATGACCGACATGACAGACACCTGGTTAACTAACTCTTCCATGTGTGGTCAACTGTAACACCTGTGGTAAATTGTACTACGTGGTCAACTGTACCAAGTGTAGTCAGCTATTCTGTGTATGGTCAACTGTAGCACATGAAGTCAGCTGTACCATATGTAGTCAACTGTACCATGCGTGGTCAACTGCACGACTGTAGTCAACTGTATCACTGTAGATAGCTGTACCATGTACATCTGTACCATGTTTAGTCACTTGTACCACGTGTAGTCAACTGTACCATGTGTAGTCAACTGTACCGTGTTTTATCTGTACAACTTGTAATCAGCTGTACTGTATGTAGTTCGCTGTACCATACGAAGTTATCTGTGCCCTGTGTAGTCAGATGTACCATGTGTCGTCAGCTGTAGCACGTGTAGTCAGTTGTACCATGTATAGTTAACTGTAGCAAGTGATATGGTATAGTGAAAACAGATATGGCGGGGTACAACACATCTGGAATGGTGGGGTACGGCGCATATAGATATGAATATATACAACCCATGCATTTAATATTACAACACATGCAAGATAATAAGGGGTACTCTTTAGGCTCTAATCATGCAGTCTGCTCCAAGACACTGACAGATACATCAACACAGCAAACTTGAACAGGAACAAGCATTGAGAAACATAGAACAGCCTATAAAGACCCAGTTTATTCTCCAACGATGTCCTCTCAATCAAATTTTGCGCCACAGTTATATCGTCCAGGGACTTAGCTATGTTCACACTCATCTACTTGCTTGCACTTCACGGCTCCCAAATCCACATTCACAAACTGCACAGCACAGCTGACACTCTTGTCTCCATTGGGTGTCATGGATTGATTAGCCAGGTTTTTTCGGGCTAGTGGGTTGAAGACATTCACTCGTTCTTCTCAGGATACATTCAGCTCAGGTACTACAACTGCCTCAAGACCAGATCGAAAACAAGACTGTACAATCTCATTCTCTAACGGCTTAAATAGCGTCTTCCTTTTCCTGGTGAACTTCCTGACTGTTATCAAGCATTCATGCTTTTCTCGCTTAGCATGCTTTTTGTCAACCTGCACAAAGTTCCTGTTTGTCTCTATTTGTTCAGACATGTATTATTATTTTTTGTACCACCCATTCAGAATAGTTTATGGTTAACGAGATACAGAGAAAATAACGCTTTACACAGTATGACGTTTACACACCTAAGACATGCAGATCTAAGAGGTATACAAGATAATAATGGATATAAATAACATATACTTCTATGGCGGAGCATAATTTACAGAAACGTTAAAGCACACAACACCTACGTGTATTTGATTCTGTGTAGGTTCCTTTATATTCTGAGGTCATGAACTGTCTGGTCAAGGCGGTCTTGCCCACCCCAGGCGCTCCCATCATCAGTACTCTGTATGGAGAAAAAAACAGGGACATTGACTTTGTCTTACTGGGGACATAAGCATAATGTACTAGGGACAGTGGCGAGGGAATATCGGCAACATCATTCAATTTTACTGGAGACTTTAGCTTTGTTTTTACAGAGACATCATCTTACTCTTTTTATTAGCTTAGTTTTTATGTGGACATTCACTTAGTTTTTTTTTTTTTTTTCAGGGACTTAGCTTGGTCTTTCCAAGTACATGGTCTTTCTGAGAACATTAGTTTAGTCTTTCAGGGACATTCACTTAATCTTTCCAGGGATAATATGGTAGTCTTTCTATGTACATTCATCTTTCTATGTACATTCATCTTTCTATGTACATTCATCTTTCTATGTACATTCATCTTTCTATGTACATTCATCTTTCTATGTACATTCATCTTTCTATGGTCATTATGTTAGTTTTGCTAGAGTAAAAAAAGTAAAGATCCATTTACACGCCCTTAGGCGCATCGGGCATATGGGAAGAGCACCCATATTTTTTACAGACCAATCGGCACTCGGTGGGTAATGTGGTCAGCATTACGCCGGCCGCCTTTACTTCCCCAGGACAGCCATCCTGGTATACCAAAGTCTTGCTAGAGACATTAGCTGTAGTCTGTCTAGGGAAATTATGCTACAATTTGTAGGGACATTGGCCGAGAGAAGGAAAAAGCCGATGCTAGCACTGTCGGATGTCTCACCTGTAGGAATGGAGGTTGTGCGTCTCTGCCGGCGCTTGTGGATCCTCTGTGCCACTGTCGTCCGAGACTTGACTGGATCCTCGTGGTGACCTGGCCAGTCCGTCGCTGACCGAGCCGACACTGCCGTTTGATCTCAGGCTGTAGGGGAGATAATGATACCCTTCTGTCACAATAATAGTGGCAGCCAGGCTGAGATTTGACAGATTAGAATCGGACAGACTATGACAGGCAGACAGCCCACTGCAGGCATTGAGACAGACATATGAAAGCCCTTAGATGACATTCAGACTAATTAACAAGCATACGATAGTGAGTTGGCATTGCACCACAGGGCACCCACCGGATGACGACACGAATGGAGTGAGATAGACTGAAAGTACCAGAGGATGTCATGTGTTGAGTATACCCACTGGATGATGTCATGTGTTGAGTATACCCACTGGATGATGTCATGTGTTGAGTATACCCACTGGATGATGTCATGTGTTGAGTATACCCACTGGATGATGTCATGTGTTGAGTATACCCACTGGATGATGTCATGTGTTGAGTATACCCACTGGATGATGTCATGTGTTGAGTATACCCACTGGATGATGTCTTGTGTTGAGTATACTCACTGGATGATGTCATGTGTTGAGTATACCCACTGGATGATGTCTTGTGTTGAGTATACTCACTGGATGATGTCATGTGTTGAGTATACCCACTGGATGATGTCATGTGTTGAGTATACCCACTGGATGATGTCATGTGTTGAGTATACCCACTGGATGATGTCATGTGTTGAGTATACCCACTGGATGATGTCATGTGTTGAGTATACCCACTGGATGATGTCTTGTGTTGAGTATACTCACTGGATGATGTCATGTGTGAGTATACCCACTGGATGATGTCTTGTGTTGAGTATACTCACTGGATGATGTCATGTGTTGAGTATACCCACTGGATGATGTCATGTGTTGAGTATACCCACTGGATGATGTCATGTGTTGAGTATACCCACTGGATGATGTCTTGTGTTGAGTATACTCACTGGATGATGTCATGTGTTGAGTATACCCACTGGATGATGTCTTGTGTTGAGTATACTCACTGGATGATGTCATGTGTTGAGTATACCCACTGGATGATGTCATTATTGTGTTGGATTAGGTCATCTATTGTGTATACCTATCAGCTGACCTCATATATTGCATCTACATATTGTGTGACGTCATATATTATAAACCCATTGCCTTTACCTGTTGGATTAAATCATCTGTTGTGTGTACCTGTTGTATTACATCATCTATTGTATGAACATGTTGAATTACGTCATATATTGTGTGTACCTGTTGGATTACATCTGCTATTGCATGTACCTGTTGGATTACATCATCTGTTGTGTGTACCTGTTGGATTACATCATCTATTCTGTGTACCTGTTGGATTACATCTTCTGTTGTGTGTACTTGTTGGATTACATCATCTGTTGTGTGTACTTGTTGGATTACATTTTCTATTGTATGTACCTGTTGGATTACATTTTCTATTGTCTGAACCTGTTGGATTACATTTTCTATTGTATGTACCTGTTGGATTACATTTTCTATTGTATGTACCTGTTGGATTACATTTTCTATTGTATGTACCTGTTGGATTACATTTTCTTTTGTCTGTACCTGTTGGATTGTATTTTCTATTGTGTGTACCTGTTGGATTACATTTTCTTTTGTCTCTACCTGTTGGATTACATTTTCTATTGTATGTACCTGTTGGATTACATTTTCTATTGTGTGTACCTGTTGGATTACATCTTCTATTGTGTGTACCTGTTGGATTACATCATCTATTGTGTACCTGTTGGATTACATCGTATATTGTGTGTACCTGTTTGATTAAATCATCTATTTGTATACCTGTTGGATTAGGTCATCTGTTGTGTGTACCTGTTGGATTCCATCCTATATTGTGTGTACCTGTTGGATTACATAATCTATATGTGTACCTGTGTGATTAACTTATCCGTTGTGTGTACCTGTTGAATTACATCATCTATTGTGTGTACCTGTTGAATTACATCATCTATTGTGTGTACCTGTTGGATTACATCATCTATTGTGTGTACCTGTTGGATTACATCATCTATGGTGTGTACCTGTTGGATTACATCTTCTATTGTGTGTACCTGTTGGATTACATCATCTGTTGTGTGTACCTGTTGGATTACATCATCTATTGTGTGTACCTGTAGGATTACATAATCTATTGTGTGTACCTGTTGGATTACATCATCTATTGTGTGTACCTGTTGGATTACATCTTCTATTGTGTGTACCTGTTGGATTACATCATCTGTTGTGTGTACCTGTTGGATTATATCATCTATTGTGTGTACCTGTAGGATTACATCATCTATTGTGTGTACCTGTTGGATTACATCATCTATTGTGTGTACCTGTTGGATTACATCTTCTATTGTGTGTACCTGTTGAATTACGTCATCTATTGTGTGTACCTGTTGAATTACGTCATCTATTGTGTGTACCTGTTGAATTATGTCATCTATTGTGTGTACCTGTTGAATTACGTCATCTATTGTGTGTACCTGTTGGATTACATCATCTATTGTGTGTACCTGTTGGATTACATCTTCTATTGTGTGTACCTGTTGAATTACGTCATCTATTGTGTGTACCTGTTGAATTACGTCATCTAGTGTGTGTACCTGTTGAATTACGTCATCTATTGTGTGTACCTGTTGAATTACGTCATCTATTGTATGTACCTGTTGAATTACGTCATCTATTGTGTGTACCACTAGGATTACATCTTCTATTGTGTGTACCTGTAGGATTACGTCATCTATTGTGTGTACCTATCAGATTACATTGTCTATTGTGTGTACCTATCAGATTACATTGTCTATTGTGTGTACCCACTGGATTACATCATCTATTGTTTCTTTCTGTTAGATTATGTCAGCTGTTGTCTGTACCTTTTGGATTACATCATCTATATAATGTTATATTACGTCATCAGTTGTGTGTACCTGTGGATTACGTCATCTATAGAGTGTACAACATTTTAGATTTCATCATCTATCATATGTACCTGTTTGATTACGTCATGTATTGTGTATAGGTACTAGGCGATGTCGTGTATTTTGTATACCTGCTGGAAGATGTCTTGAAGGAGTCCCCGTGGTTGATTAGGCCTTTAGAAGTTGTCTTAAAAGAGCGGACCCTGTGCATTCGGCCAGTCTCTGGCATGTAAAAGGGATCTGTGGAGAGAGATATGAGACCTGTAGTCAGCAACAGAATAAGCATACAGTGGAGACATGTAGTCAGCAACAGACCAATCATACAGTGGAGACATGTAATCAGCAACAGACCAATCATACAGTGGAGACATGCAGTCAGCAACAGACCAATCATACAGTGGAGACATGCAGTCAGCAACAGACCAATCATACAGTGGAGACATGTAGTCAGCAACAGACGAAGCATACAGTGGAGACATGCAGTCAGCAACAGACCAATCATACAGTGGAGACATGCAGTCAGCAACAGACCAATCATACAGTGGAGACATGTAGTCAGCAACAGACGAAGCATACAGTGGAGACATGCAGTCAGCAACAGACCAATCATACAGTCCAGACCTGTAGTCAGCAACAGACCAATCATACAGTGGAGACCTGTAGTCAGCAACAGACCAATCATACAGTGGAGACATGTAGTCAGCAACAGACCAATCATACAGTGGAGACATGCAGTCAGCAACAGACCAATCATACAGTGGAGACCTGTAGTCAGCAACAGACCAATCATACAGTGGAGACCTGTAGTCAGCAACAGACCAATCATACAGTGGAGACATGCAGTCAGCAACAGACCAATCATACAGTGGAGACCTGTAGTCAGCAACAGACCAATCATACAGTGGAGACATGTAGTCAGCAACAGACCAATCATACAGTGGAGACCTGTAGTCAGCAACAGACCAATCATACAGTGGAGACATGTAGTCAGCAACAGACCAATCATACAGTGGAGACATGCAGTCAGCAACAGACCAATCATACAGTGGAGACATGTAGTCAGCAACAGACCAATCATACAGTGGAGACCTGTAGTCAGCAACAGACCAATCATACAGTGGAGACATGTAGTCAGCAACAGACCAATCATACAGTGGAGACATGTAGTCAGCAACAGACCAATCATACAGTGGAGACATGTAGTCAGCAACAGACCAATCATACAGTGGAGACATGTAGTCAGCAACAGACCAATCATACAGTGGAGACATGCAGTCAATACCAACTAACAGGTTGCAATGTGGAGAGAGAGATACACACATTCAGTCATACCCTCACACGGACACACCCTCCTGTCAAAGGTCACACACACATATGCTGACACATGAATATCCTCCTGTGAAAGGTTACACACGGAACACACACACACACACACTCACTCACACAAACAATCACACAGCCGCACAGACATTCAGCTAAAGTCAGCAATCACGTATTGATACAAGAGACTTGACTGTTCATTGTTTGTCCCCTCCACAAGTCACTGATGGAAGTGAATGAGACAATACTTAGCGCTGTGTTTGTCCCCTCCACAAGTCACTGATGGAAGTGAATGAGACAATACTTGGCGCTGTGTTTGTCCCCTCCACAAGTCACTGATGAAAGTGAATGAGACAATACTTGGCGCTGTGTTTGTCCCCTCCACAAGTCACTGATGGAAGTGAATGAGACAATACTTGGCGCTGTGTTTGTCCCCTCCACAAGTCACTGATGAAAGTGAATGAGACAATACTTTGCGCTGTGTTTAATGTGGAATGTTGGGCCGCTTGAGGATGATTGGGTTCAGCCCTGGTGACCACTCATTCTATATGTACGTGTGCGCTAGAAAAAGAGAGAGCGAGAGAGAGAGAGAGAGAGAGAGAGAGAGAGAGAGAGAGAGAGAGAGAGAGAGAGAGAGAGAGAGCGAGACAGACATAAGAACGATCTACAATAATGAGAAACATACAGACAGATATACAACCTTACAGTTGTGTGACAGATATAGCACCTAATAGCTATGTAACAGATATAGCACCCAACAGTTGTATGACAAATATAGCACCTAACAGTTGTGTGAGATATATAACACCCAACAGTTGTATGACAGATATAGCACCTAATAGTTGTGTAACAGATATAACACCTAACAGTTGTGTAACATATATAGCACCTAACAGTTGTGTAACAGATATAACACCCAACAGTTGTGTGACAGATATAGCACCTAACAGTTGTGTGACAGATATACCAACTAACAGTTGTGTGACAGATATAGCACCTAATAGTTGTGTGATAGATATAACACCCAACAGTTGTGTGACAGATATAGCACCGAATTAATAGTTGTGTAACAGATATAACACCCAACAGTTGTGTGACAGATATAGCACCTAAAAGTAGTGTGACAGATATACCACCTAACAGTTGTGTGACAGATAGATAGATAGAGAGAGGGAGAGAGAGAGAGAGAGAGAGAGAGAGAGAGAGAGAGAGAGAGAGTGCGAGACAGACATAAGAACGATCTACAATAATGAGAAAAAATAAAATGACATTCAGACAGATATACAACCTTACAGTTGTGTGACAGATATAGCACCTAACAGTTGTGTGACATATATAGCACCTAATAGTTGTGTGACAGATATAGCACCTAACAGTTGTGTAACAGATTCAGATTCAGACAGGCTAATAAAATATTGTGAATCTGATGTGTCTACTGTGACAGGTCCATACTGCAAACATGGAAAAACAAAAGTGATGTGAGATCTCACAGCTAGACTGAATGACACGTAGACAATATGACAGGTAAAATCTGACACATTGACTAATTGACAGACAAAATCTGACACCTTTACCGAATGACAAGTAAAATCTCACACCTAGACTAAATAAGAGTAAAAATCTGCGACCTAGACTCAGCGACAATAAAACGCTGACAGGTAGACTCAATGACAAGTAAATGCTGACAAGTAGACTCAACGACAAGTAAACGCTGACAGGTAGACTCAATGACAAGTAAACACTGACAGGTAGACTCAATGACAAGTAAACGCTGATAGGTAGACTCAATGACAAGTAGACTCAATGACAAGTAAACGTTGACAGGTAGACTCAATGACAAGTAAACGCTGACAGGTAGACTCAATGACAAGTTAACGCTGACAAGTAGACTCAATGACAGGTAGACTCGATGACAAGTAAACGCTGACAGGTAGACTCAATGACAAGTAAACGCTGACAGGTAGACTCAATGACAGGTAGACTCGATGACAAGTAAACGCTGACAGGTAGACTACACGACATGTAACATCTGACAGGCGGACAGGCTGACAGGCACACAAGCTTACCTGGAAGAGTTAAATAAGCGTTGGGCAGGCTATTAGTTCGTGGCCTCTGAGCTGCCAGAATATCGAGGTTGAGCCTGGGTCGAGGCCTGTTCTTGAATGAGGAAGAGCGAGAATGTGGTGCAGAATGCGGAGCGTCCATTGTTGGCACCGAATGGAAGAAGTTTTCATCGTCTGTAATTCTTTGACCTTCTACAAGGATGTCCGTGAAAATGGAGTTGATGTCCGGGCGAAGAGCTGTGGCGGCAATTGTGGACAAACATATCAGTTAGTATTCTTTTACCAACCATTGGCATCAGCCAAAAAGTACCTCTTGATAAACATAGGGGCAAGTCAGTACCCACTTTTTAGATTGATGCGTGTACAGTGATTGAGTGGAAAGATGAATTCGTACACGGTTTGCAACTGCACACATTTCTGCCCTTTATTGTTCTAGTTAAGGGGCTGCGTTAGCGCAGTAGATAGGAGACTCGCTTTCAAATCCAGCTGCGAGTTGTTGCAGCCCACGTCCGGTGTTCAAAACTGGGTAGTTCCCGGGGTTCACTCAGCCTCTAGGAAATGGGTACCAAAGTTAACATTTTTGGGGTAAATAAACGTCGCTGTAGCTACGGAGTTTCTTGCGGACGTCGACACAGGCGGACAGTTTCTTATCAGCTGTCCGTACTGGTGGCAGAGAACTTATGGTTTATAACCGTGTGCAATGTCGCTGGTTCACATCTCTCGACTTTACCTTTAGTTCTACACTGTCTTAGCCCAATTGGACACAGCCGTCCTAGCATTGCCTCAGTTCCGTTGAAACCTTCACCAGAGAAGTGCTGTACTCCGTGCTCCGATGTACTCCATGCTCTGATGTACTGCATACTCAAGTGTACTGCGTATTCCAATGTACTCAGTGCTACCTACGATGTACTGCATACTCGTGTATACCTTATGTTCCGATGTACCCCGTGTTCCGATGTACTGCATACTCATACGGCCTTGATTCTAGCAATCATCAGATCCAGTCTGGGACATTTGTGGGTAATCCGCAATCATAGCCCGTTAAAGGGCACACCGCTGATGTGATGTGTACACTAACATAGCGATAATCATCAAGTCAATGACAACACTAACGGCGCCATTACACATGCATTCACATATTCTTGGTCACCCAAATAGACACCTGCACCAGATCGATTGCACCTGTCAGTGACAATAATCATAACTATAGACCCTGGGACACAGGCCGTCATTGTCTCCGGGACCCACCTTTTGTGGGGGCGGCATCTGCCATAGAGGAACTGCACAGTCTTCACTCTCTTGCTGCGCGCCGGTGCCAGTTTGTTCATCTTCCCTTCTAGCTGCTAGTAATTTGTCACCATTCTCATGGCTAGCATCTCGATCTGCCTGTTTCTGTCTTTCTCTCCCCCCCCTCCCCCCCTACCACCTTACCCCCCCCCCCCCCCAACTCTCTCTCTCTCTCTCTCTCTCTCTCTCTCTCTCTCTCTCTCTCCTCTCTCTCTCTCTCTGTCTCTCTCTCTCTCTGTCAGTTGTTGATCCTGCCACCACCATTATTATAAACCGTGGTGATCGCCATGACGATACAAACACCCCGAATTTCCTAATCAACTCTATGGGAACATAGTTAAGCATGTGAACATGTAGATGGAACCGTTGAAAGTCAGCACAACTGACTTGTATGGCTAGAACTAGACTGATATCAGATGAAACTCTCAGCATAAAAGCTGTAAATGGCAGTGATATTAACGTGTTAAGGTGCCGCACAGTTGCCGTGAGATAAAAGAGTTGAAGTGCTCTAGAGAACTTGTTTTTATAAGGAGTAGAAAATTATAGGGAAGAGAAAAAGTTGGTAAGAAACAACAATTAGTTTATGTTAGCTTTACAAAATCGATCACGATAAACAAACAAAGGACGTTGCGGCGATTAGCCTTCATCAGAGAACTTGTACTTTTGTATACATGGGAAGATGGATGTACATGTAGGGAACATCTAAAACACAGACCTAATCCATGATTCTGGCAATCGTGTCATGTGGTGAACTAGCACCGTCTACGTTTTTCCGCCGGGTATATGTTGATAGTCGGCCCTGTGGCTAAGTCGATGCGAACGCTTCGTAATGCCAGGATGCTGGGTTCGATCCCAACTGCAGGCCATGCGTCTTGCGTTGGTTTCGACAGTGGTATCAAGAAAGCCGACCGTCCAGGAAGCAGTGGCAAACTACTAGACGTTAATTTGCCTAGAAAAACCACACAACAGTGGGGTTGGTTCTTGAACGTCCTGTAAATGATACACAACGAACCACATGTTGATAATTGCAGTGAAAGGCAAACCAGGGACAGAGAGACGCTATAGTCCGTTCCTGAAGTTCTGCTCAGTTTTAAACACCTCAGTAACGTTCGGTGTAAGTTGTTGAAATGTGGCAAGCAACCTGACAATAATGATGTCCTTGTAAGTAAAAGTAAAGTAAAGGACCCTTTTCCACGCCTTTAGGCGTATAGGGCATATAGGGCTAGACCTATATTTTTTATAGACCAACGGCATAAGATGGGTGATGTGGTCAGCCTCGCGCCGGCCACCTCTACTTCCCAGGACTGCATCCGGTACCCACTCTAGGCTGGGTGGACCTGGGAGCCAAAGTCATTTTTGAAGATAAATCCGGCTCCTACAGGGAGCGAACCCACGACCTTCCGATCCGCGGCGAGCGTCTAGCCGCTCCGCCAGGGCGACTCCCCTATGTCCTTGTAAGAATAATGTAAACAAACATCTAGTTTACATGTTGCTTTTTATAGTAAAGTAAACAGTCCACATGCTTACAGTAACTTGGGTAAATTGAGTAAGGGGAGCTTTTTATGGGGAACTTTTCAAAACATCAGACAGCTCGCCTTTCATAGACGTTTCGCTCTCAGGTTGTCATCTCTATCAAAAATCTCTCGTGAGTTGTGGATTTCCATTAAGTGGGGAATAGGCTATCAAAATAATCACTACGCATCGCTGCACGTGGCAATATATTTCCAGTCTCCACATGTGTGTCAATTACTGAATATTCTGTTTTTCAGGGACACAGAAAGTATAAGTCAAACAAAGATTGTAAATTATAGAATCAGATGTAAATGGGAAATCTAAGGCCACCTGCAAAATTTCGAGTTGATTCGTACTGGTGTTTTCCAATATCTGTTAAAGTATGACGGCATGAGTTTTGGAACATACTATAGGAGACGTCCTGTTGACAGCAGTATCAACTAGACGACCAGGGAGAACATCTGCAGTGTGCTTGCTGACTAGGGGGTCACAGCTCGACTACCTGGTTGACATGAGACAGTGGAGTCACACCTAGTCACTGACACCTAGCTGTCTGGCTGACGTGAGACAGTGGAGTCACACCTAGCTGTCTGGCTGACGTGAGACAGTGGAGTCACACCTAGTCACTGACACCTAGCTGTCTGGCTGACGTGAGACAGTGGAGTCACACCTAGTCACTGACACCTGACTGGCTGGCTGACGTGAGACAGTGGAGTCACACCTAGTCACTGACACCTGACTGGCTGGCTGACGTGAGACAGTGGAGTCACACCTAGTCACTGACACCTGACTGTCTGGCTGACATGAGACAGTGGAGTCACACCTAGTCACTGACACCTGGCTGGCTGGCTGACGTGAGACAGTGGAGTCACACCTAGTCACTGACACCTGACTGTCTGGCTGACATGAGACAGTTGGGTCACACCTAGTCACTGACACGTGACTGGCTGGCTGACGTGAGACAGTGGAGTCACACCTAGTCACTGACACCTGACTGCCTGGCTGACTTGAGACAGTGAAGTCACACCTAGTCACTGACACCTGACTGGCTGGCTGACGTGAGACAGTGGAGTCACACCTAGTCACTGACACCTGACTGGCTGGCTGACGTGAGACAGTGGAGTCACAACTAGTCACTGACACCTGACTGTCTGGCTGACATGAGACAGTGGAGTCACACCTAGTCACTGACACCTGACTGTCTGGCTGACGTGAGACAGTGGAGTCACACCTAGTCACTGACACCTGACTGGCTGGCTGACGTGAGACAGTGGAGTCACACCTAGTCACTGACAAATGACTGGCTGGCTGACATGAGACAGTGGAGTCACACCTAGTCACTGACACCTGACTGGCTGGCTGACATGAGACAGTGGAGTCACACCTAGTCACTGACACCTGACTGCCTGGCTGACGTAAGACAGTGGAGTCACACCTAGTCACTGACACCTGACTGGCTGGCTGACATGAGACAGTGGAGTCACACCTAGTCACTGTCACCTGACTGGCTGGCTGACATGAGACAGTGGAGTCACACCTAGTCACTGACACCTGACTGTCTGGCTGACATGAGACATTGGAGTCACACCTAGTCACTGACACCTGACTGGCTGGCTGACGTGAGACAGTAAAGTCACACCTAGTCATTGACACGTGACTACCTGTCTGACATTAGAGCATGGGGTCAGGTATAAACAGTCTGCTTGACCTGAGACCATGGGGTCAACCTAGACACAGACATTAGAAAATGGGGTCATACCTAGACACTGACATTTGACATTCTGGCAGGCATTAGATCATGGGTTCACACCTAGACACCGACATTTGACAGCTTGGCTGACATTAATCTATGGGTTCACACCTAGACACAGATATTAAACTATGGGTTCACACCTAGATACAGATATTAAACTATGGGGTCACACCTAGACACAGATATTAAACTATAGGTTCACACTTAGACACCGACATTTGACAGCTTGGCTGAAATTAATCGATGGGGTCACACCTAGACACAGATATTGAACCATGGGGTCACACCTAGATACAGATATTAAACCATGGGGTCACACCTAGACACAAATATTAAACCATGGTGTCACACCTGGACACAGATATTAAACCATGGGTTCACCCCTAGACACCGACATTTGACGGCTTGGCTGACATTAATCTATGGGTTCACACCTAGACACAGATATTAAACTATGGGTTCACACCTGGATACAGATATTAAACTATGGGGTTAGACCTAGACACAGATATTAAACTATGGGTTCACACTTAGACACCGACATTTGACAGCTTGGCTGACATTAATCTATGGGGTCAAACCTAGACACAGATAATAAACCATGGGGTCACACCTAGACACAGATATTAAACCATGGAGTCACACCTAGACACATATTTTAAAACATGGTGTCACACCTGGACACAGATATTAAACCCTGGGTTCACACCTAGACACAGATATTGAACTATGGGTTCACACCTAGACACAGATATTAAACCATGGGTTCACACTTAGACACAGATATTAAACCATGGGTTCACACCTAGACACAGATATTAAACTATGGGTTCACACCTAGACACAGATATTAAACCATATGTTCACACCTGGACACAGATATTAAACCATGGGTTCACACTTAGACAAAGATACTAATCCATGGGTTCACACTTAGACAAAGATATTAATCCATGGGTTCACAAATAGACAAATATATTAAACCATGGGTTCACATTTAGACAAATATATTAAACCATGGGTTCACACTTAGACAAAGATATTAAACCATGGGTGCACACGTAGACAAAGATATTAAACCATGGGTTCACACCTAGACAGTCTGGCTAACATTAGACCATGGGATCATACACAGACACCGACATTTGACAGCTAGGCTGACATTATTCCACAGGGTCACACCTAGACACAGATATTAGACCATGGGGTCACACCTAGACACTGACATTCGACCATGGGGTCACACCTAGACACTGACATTAGACCATAGGGTCACACCTAGACACCGACATTAGACCATGGGGTCACACCTAGACACTGACATTAGACCATGGGGTCACACCTAGACACTGACATTAGACCATGGGATTACACCTAGACACTGACATTAGACCTTGGGGTCACACCTTAACACCGACATTAGACCATGGGGTCACAAGAGACACCGACATTAGAACATGGGGTCACACCTAGACACTGACATTAAACCATGGGGTCACACCTAGATACTGACATTAGACTATGGGGTCACACCTAGACACTGACATTAAACCATGGGGTCACACCTAGACACTGACATTAGAACATGGGGTCACACCTAGACACCGACATTAGAACATGGGATCACACCTAGACACTGACATTAGACCATGGGGTCACACCTAAACACTGACGTTAGACCATTGGGCCACACCTAGACACTGACATTAAACCATGAGGTCACACCTAGACACCGACATTAGACCATGGGGTCACACCTAGACACCGACATTAGACCATGGGGTCACACCTAGACACCGACATTAGACCATGGGGTCACACCTAGACACCGACATTAGACCATGGAGTCACACCTAGACACTGACATTAGACCATGGGGTCACACCTAGACACTGACATTAGACCATGGGATCACACCTAGACACCGACATTAGACCATGGGTTCACACCTAGACACCGACATTAGACCATGGGGTCACACCTAGACACCGACATTAGACCATGGGGTCACACCTAGACACTGACATTAGACCATGGGGTCACACCTAGACACTGACATTAGACCATGGGGTCACACCTAGACACCGACATTAGACCATGGGGTCACACCTAGACACTGACATTAGACTATGGGGTCACACCTAGACACCGACATTAGACCATGGGGTCACACCTAGACACTGACATTAGACTATGGGGTCACACCTAGACACCGACATTAGACCATAGGGTCACACCTAGACACCGACATTAGACCATGGGGTCACACCTAAACACTGACATTAGACCATGGGATCACACCTAGACACTGACATTAGACTAGGGGTTACACGTAGACACCCACAATAGATCATGGGGTCACACCTAAATACTGATATTTGGCAGCCTTACTGGGTTCTGTGAGGAGCCGAACATTCCTATCATTTCTGGCATCACTCACCTGTGTCTCTGGCAGACGCCATGACGTCATCAAATCGTGTGTCCTCACCTGACATCTCACCAGCCTGTGAAGGTCAAAGTTCAAACAGACATTGAAACAGTTGCTAGACAGGATGCAAAGTTGCCAGACAGGATGCAAAGAAGATTTACACCGACATTCGCAAACACATAACTTAACAAGCACATATAGACAGACAGGCAGATTCGCATTCAAGAACACAACATACAAATACACATACAGGCAGAGACACATACAGACACACATTTACACAGAGGCACATACAATACAGACAGATACACATACATTTACATACAGGCAGATACATATACAGGCACATAGCATACAGACAGATACACATACAGACAAATACACATACAGACAGATACACATTCACATAAGGCACACAACATACAGATACACATACAGGCAGATACAGATAGTTACACATACAGGCACATAACATACAGATACACATACAGACAGATATACATACGGACAGATATACATACAGGCAGATACATATATAGAAACATAGCATACCGACAAATTCACATACAGGCAGATTCACATACTGGTGGATACACATACTGGTGGATACACATACTGGTGGATTCACATACTGGTGGATACGGATATAGACAGATACATATACAGGCAGATTCACGTACAGATAGGTGCCTCTAAAGTAGCAAGTATGTGATGGCTCGCTCACAAGCACGGAGATGACAAGTGAGAACAGCCCCACTAGAAAATAGTTTGATAAACAAATCGCCATGAACCGATTGGCATTCAGAGACAGGAGAAGATAAACCTGGACCAGTGCCACACGTGCCATGCTGTATGTAAGCTAGCAAATGTTAGTACCTCGACACGGACATACGCAGACCATTGGCAGAGGAAGAATTGTATATATACATATACACACACAGACACATGAGAGGGGAACACAAAGAGAATGTCGAGGGATAGATACAGCACGATGGGGACAATATATTTTATCATTAGAACAGCAGACCAACACGAAGGCAAGTCTTGAATGTGTTTGCTGGTCCATGACTGGTAGTGGCGACCATGTGGCTGGAATCATTTGTACTGTGTTCTCACAGCTCTTGCGACAGCTGCAATGTGGGTGTAAGGAGTCCGTGTTGTGTGACCTGGACTCCTACTGCTGTATATTCCTGTTTTGGCCGCCCTGTGTTGTGTGACCTGGACTCCTACTGCTGTATATTCCTGTTTTGGCCGCCCTGTGCTGTGTGACCTGAACTCCTATTGTTGTATATTCCTGTCTTGGCCGCCCTGTGTTGTGTGACCTGAACTCCTATTGTTGTATATTCCTGTCTTGTAGCCGCCCTGTGTTGTGTGACCTGAACTCCTATTGTTGTATATTCCTGTCTTGGCCGCCCTGTTTTGTGTGACCTGAACTCCTATTGTTGTATATTCCTGTCTTGGCCGCCCTGTGTTGTGTGACCTGAACTCCTATTGTTGTATATTCCTGTCTTGGCTGCCCTGTGTTGTGTGACCTGAACTCCTATTGTTGTATATTCCTGTCTTGGCCGCCCAGTGTTGTGTGACCTGAACTCCTATTGTTGTATATTCCTGTCTTGGCCGCCCTGTGTTGTGTGACCTGAACTCCTACTATTTGTATATTCCTGTCTCTCCCCTCCCCCTCGTGTTGTGATGGCCGTCTCCGGGGTTTGGGCATTTACCCTCCTTGACATTCCTTGCCCCTGTACTACCTTGTTCTGTGGTCCTCCTGCATCCCCTTTCCCATCTGTTATCGTGTCGTCCGTGTGTTTTCTTCATATTGTACCAGACAATGTTTTATTTATTTATCTTCTTCAGAGACTGTTGTTTTTGTTGTTGTTCGTTGCGGCTTTATCGTCATCATCTTCCTTTTCTTCCTCTTCTCGTCATCATCACCATCATCAGTATCATTTCTTCTCCTTATTTCCCCTCTTCTATTTATTCCCCCTTTTCCTGCTTCCCAGATAAGTTCATCATCATCATGTTGCAGGTCATTTAGAAAGTCGCTATTATCACGGTCTGATTAATGATTTAAAAATCGACATCATAGCACACAGGACATTCTCGTAGGTGCTCCGTCTCCCTTAGCAAATATATTAAGGTGTAGATGCTAACTGTTCCTGTAGCACACTGATTATACACACTCAGATTTTTTTCCTCGCATCCGTCCCTCCTTTTCGGATTCACACTTGACTCCTCGTTCACACATTCTTGCACATGTTATTTCATCTCATCTCGTGTCTTCTGGCATCATTCTTCTTTAAATGGTCTTCAGAAATTCTTCCTTGTCCAGTTCGAGTGTTCCTGTAGCTTTCGCTTTTGAAGCCATCAAATCCACTCTTTCATTCCCTCGCACGCCTGCACACCCTGGACAGTATGTCCTCGCGATTCCCTGCAATGTTGGCGTACTAAAGCTTGGTATCCAGTCATACCACCTTAGTTCCTTGTGAACCTTGTGCAGTGCCGTCTGAGAATCAGACACAATTCCTCTAGTAACTCTGTTTTCAGCACCCTGTCCCGAAAGTTGAAGAGACAGTGATGGGGGGGGGGTGCAGATTGTGAAAAGCGAGGCAGGGGTCGACCACCACAAAGATGGATACAGTACATTGAGAAGCATTGGCATTGAAAGCACATGGCGCCGGAGAGCTGGATAGGGAAAGGGATACTTTCAGGCGATCCGTGAAGAGAGCGACGTTCTGTAAATGACTCGCTGATTGATGATGAAGAAACTAGGGTGCCTGACGTGTTGGTTTGTGCTGCTCCGTTGCATTCTCACCTGCTGCTACCCTACCAGTGTTGCCACTTTTCTTTGACAAAAAACATCCAAAACGGAGTCAAAAATATCTAAAAACATCTAAATTTGCGTGGAAAACATCTAGAAAAACATCCAAATGGAAGAGTCACAAATTACATAGCAATTAATATGACTTACCCTATAGTATCGTGTCCCCATCTTTACTGAAGTCTGCCTTACAAGATCCACAGGATAAACTTAGCTTGGATGATGAAGTTGAAGCTTCAGATCCAAAATTACTTTGGTATGCTTTAGCTGTTCCAGTTTCTTTTAATACCCAATCAGGGAGCTGATAAGTGGAACAGCCTTTTCCTACTCTTATCAGGCCGAATTTTATTGTCAAGATAGCATTTTAAAAACCCCAATTTTATCCTGTTTCTTAGGTTAGATTTGATAAATTCACTTTAAATGAAAAACTTCTAGAAAAACATCTACCATCTAAACGCCAAAAACGCCATCTAAATGCAAGGAAAAACTCTAAATCTCAATGTAAATCATCCAAAGTGGCAACACTGTACCCTACCCTGTCCTTTGTATGGGAGCCAGAAGGCAGCAGGTGCCGCTGGTTGCCAGCAAGGCGTGTCTCAGCTGCCATCCGCCCCACCCTTTCTCTGCTGCCTGCCAGCTTTTTCCTGGTCTCGGTTTGATTGTTGCGTTTGTAGCTTTTGCATGGAGAGTTCATCAGTTCATGTCTAGGAGCTCGTGGGCCGAAACATTTGTCGACGAGAGATTACTTCTACTGATGATTGGTAGACTCCTGCTGTACATGCTCCTCTGTGCTGATGATTGGTAGACTCCTGCTGTACATGCTCCTCTGTGCTGATGATTGGTAGACTCCTGCTGTACATGCTCCTCTGTGCTGATGATTGGTAGACTCCTGCTGTACATGCTCCTCTGTGCTGATGATTGGTAGACTCCTACTGTACATGCTCCTCTGTGCTGATGATTGGTAGACTCCTACTGTACATGCTCCTCTGTGCTGATGATTGGTAGACTCCTGCTGTACATGCTCCCCTGTGCTGATGATTGGTAGACTCCTACTGTACATGCTCCACTGTGCTGATGATTGGTAGACTCCTACTGTACATGCTCCTCTGTGCTGATGATTGGTAGACTCCTGCTGTACATGCTCCTCTGTGCTGATGATTGGTAGACTCCTGCTGTACATGCTCCTCTGTGCTGATGATTGGTAGACTCCTGCTGTACATGCTCCTCTGTGCTGATGATTGGTAGACTCCTGCTGTACATGCTCCCCTGTACTGATGATTGGTAGACTCCTGCTGTACATGCTCCCCTGTGCTGATGATTGGTAGACTCCTGCTGTACATGCTCCCCTGTGCTGATGATTGGTAGACTCCTGCTGTACATGCTCCCCTGTACTGATGATTGGTAGAACTCCCTGCTGTACATGCTCCCCTGTACTGATGATTGGTAGACTCCTGCTGTACATGCTCCCCTGTGCTGATGATTGGTAGACTCCTGCTGTACATGCTCCCTGTTACTGATGATTGGTAGACTCCTGCTGTACATGCTCCCCTGTACTGATGATTGGTAGACTCCTGCTGTACATGCTCCCCTGTACTGATGATTGGTAGACTCCTGCTGTACATGCTCCCTGTACTGATGATTGGTAGACTCCTGCTGTACATGCTCCCCTGTACTGATGATTGGTAGACTCCTGCTGTACATGCTCCCCTGTGCTGATGATTGGTAGACTCCTGCTGTACATGCTCCCTGTACTGATGATTGGTAGACTCCTGCTGTACATGCTCCCCTGTACTGATGATTGGTAGACTCCTGCTGTACATGCTCCCCTGTACTGATGATTGGTAGACTCCTGCTGTACATGCTCCCCTGTACTGATGATTGGTAGACTCCTGCTGTACATGCTCCCCTGTGCTGATGATTGGTAGACTCCTGCTGTACATGCTCCTCTGTGCTGATGATTGGTAGACTCCTGCTGTACATGCTCCTCTGTGCAGTTTCTTCTTACTTATTCTGATAATTTAAAATTAGGCATAAATATCTAAAGTCTGCAGCAGATGTACATTTTCTAAAAAAAATGCCAATGTAAGAGTAAAGAAGACTTTTGTTTATTCAAAATGTTTTTAAGGTTATCTGAAACTGATGTTAAGAGTGACATTTTTATTTTGTCAAGATATAATACTTAGTAATTGTCAGTTATTTAGTACACTACTCTCGGTCTTGTTACTGCGCCTGACACTTCTATTTGTCTTGTTACTGCG